ATCATTAATTTTGTGAGAAGAAACTACAATTGGCGAAGGAACTGTTGATTTCTAAGAAAATTATAAATATTAAAACAAATACAAAATGTTGATCAAGATAGTGTTCGTACTATTTACGTTTCTCAAAATACTGAAAGTAATTAGAAAAAAATTCCAAATAATTAGTTAGACTATGTGAGATCAAATTAATAATGGCGTGTGCTGAATTAGATAGAAACTATGCATCTATTACAATACACAATCACCATTAGCTTGTAACACGAGATATAGGGCATTTTATAATAATACTGATATTGCCTTCCAAAATTTTTGTAGCATTTATTATTCCATATAAAAGCACGCGTCAGAATTTTTTCGCATCTTTAGCCAGACTGGAACGTCATTCTTCCTTCGAGATCGTTATACGCAAAAGCAGATTTAAGGAACTTGTTGTTTTATTGAAGTTTGAGATATATCTTTAATTTGAAATCAATAATTATTATTCTTGCTCTCAACAATCACACGTGCGTTCCATCTCTGTTTTGTGCGTATTACGTGTTGAATAGCAACAGTAACACAATTATACGCGTTTTGTACATAGTGAAAACTAATATATCATAAAACATTAATAATAGTTGTAAGTTAAAAGGAGAAAAGGCAGACAGGAGACTTTTTTAAATGCATACACAAAGATAGCAGATGAATGAAGTAAAAAAGAAAAGAAAAAAAAAGATAAAGATACTGATTCTTCGCAATCGTGCAGGGTCGGGGTTGGCTCATTTGGTGGTCCAGTTAACTATATTATATAAATTAAGATATGCTGGAACTTCTACTCGATGTTTCTTTCACTCTTTGTTATTCCCCCTTGCAATTGTTTCATTTTGTATTTATACATTCTATAAATTGTAATTTACTGTCGACCATTCCATAGACAAATGTCATTTGTCTACGAGCATGAATCAGAGTAAATATAGCATTAGAATTGTTGCTTGTGAACCGAATATACGAACATCGAGCAGGAGTGTCTTGCCACCGATCTCAATATTGTGCTAACTGCGACTTGAAATTACATTTGAAACTGCTTGTATGAGTGTGACACTCTTGTAACATTCATGTTTAAGTTGAATCCATATTGTACTATTTACGGCACTATTATTTGCATTAATTCTATTACATTACATTAATTATATTATATTACAATACACTGTACCAGAATTAAAGAAAACACAAGGCAATTTGATGGTTTTTGTAGTCAGCATTTTGTAATCATCATTTTCGTCACTGTCATTATTATTGTAACAATCATTATTATATTATTTTATTATTATTATTATTATTAATATCATTATCATTATTATTATTATTATTATTATTATTATTATTATTATTATT